GGAGCAGGCCCCCTTCCCTGGGGGATGCAAATTCCTCAGGCTTGAGCTCCAGAGAGCAGATCCCTGGCTCCCGGCTGGCTGAGCACAGCCCCATGGGTTGGATTCAGCTGGAATGAGAGACAACGGGTAGAGCAGCAGGAATTTGCATCCCCAAGTCTCCACTGAAGCCATATGGCCCCACTCCACCGGCCCTGGCAAGGCTGGGAATTCTGCCAGGGGAGCTTGGCCTGGGATTCCCCATAGACTTAACAGCAGCAGCTCAGCTGGATTTTCCATGCCTGACACTGGCTTTGCAGTGCTGGATGCTGGAGCAATTGCTGCCTGGATTGGCCTTGCTGAGCTGAGAGCAGCAGAGCAACCAGAAAAGAGGACCTGGGATGAGAAGAGCAGTGGATGCAGCAATGGAACCGCAGGGAGCAGCAGCCCTGGAGCGCATGGAAGTGCTGGCACCCAAAGGAGGGCTGAGCCAAGCAGTGCTCCATTTGTCTCGGTGTTCAGGAATCCCTCTGGAAAACCAGTTCTGCCACACAGACACCCCAAGGAGGTTGCAATGGATGCGCTGGGACTCCTTCTCCCACCACGCTGCACCCCAAGGTGCTTGGCGACTGCTTTCCCAGGAAAACCACCCCAATCCTGGGATTTTTCCTCCAACCTGGGAGCCGGTGACCACGGGGACCTCGGCAGTGAGGAATTCCTTATCCCCAGCTTCTTGAGGGTCCCGCTGTGGGTTTGCCCATCTCCCATGCTACAATGGAGTTCTTTTCCCTCTTCCCCCCCATCACTGCAGAGCTGGTTTAATCAGCTCATAGTTTTCATTTCATGCCTTCCTCTGTCTCCCTTTTTGAGGGGGCAGTGGAATTTATACAATATTTAAGCAGCCGAGTGGAGTCCTGGAAGATATTATTAATGTAAAAGGGACAGGCTGGAAATGCACTTGAACCTGGTTACAATTAGAGGGTGATTTTTCTAAAGGTCAATGAATTCAGATAATATCCACAGGGGGGAAAAGAAATTTAATACCTTTTTAGTGAATTAATTAATTATAATATTATATCGGCTTGGGGTTCTTTTCCAGAGTGATTAAGGGAACGATCTGTCTTCGGAGAGGCTGGGGGAAGTCAATGAGCGAAGGAAAGACTGACAGAGGGAAGGGAGAGAAGGGGGAGAGCCGGGGAGAGTTTAATGGGAGAATAATGGAGCCTTTTTTCCCCCTTTAAAAACTTACTGTATTTCCAGGCCACATGATCCCAGCCTGCCAGGTCCGGACCCTTTCCATGCAGTCTCTCCAAAGGCCGTTGCAGGGATTAGTTTGCATTTCGACCTTTCCAAAGTGCCTTTGGATGCTTTAGCATCTCCAGTGGCTGACACGGTGCAGTGGGTGGCCAGACCCTTCATGGCAGCCCCATCCCTGGTACCACCAGCACCACGCTCCAGGGCTGGCAAAGGGGTTCTTGCCCGGTCTATGTGTGGGGATACGGGGTCCCCAGGAGCCACTGAATGCTGTGGCCTTGGCACGGTGCTGCTCCTGGCCCTGGGGAGCCCTCAGCCGTGCTGGTTTCTCTGCAGCCTGAGCTGAGGCTGGAATTTACACTCTCTGCTAATCCAGGCAGCCCCAGAAATTAATTACAGCCTTGTACATTAAAAATTAACATAACCTTTCTGGATATATGTTCTTATAGCACAGGAGTGGGCCGGAGTCCCTCAGCCACCTCTAATTGGAGCTGCTTCCCTTCTAATTCTCCCCCCTCCCTCGTTTTTTAAGGATGTGGCTGTTTGAACTCATTAATCACGGAGCCTGGGAGCTGGTGAAGTTGAAGAGGGTTTGTAATTGCGTTTGGTCCTGCCTGAGTTTGCAGGGAAGGGGAAGAGGAGGTGTCTGTCCTTCGCTGGGAAGGTTTAAGTGAGCACCCAGAGGCTGGGGTGGGAGCGAAGAGATGCTCGTGCTCACCTCCTGGTGTGGGTAGGGTACCAAAACCCTGGCAGGGAGCTTATCAAGGGCTTGGCTGAAGGAGAGATGGGCTGAACATTTACAGCCTCCCATTCGGATGTGGGTCCAACAGCCCCAGAATAAAAGCCACTGTGTTGTGGGATGCTATGGCATGTTTCCACTCTTCTGCTGAGCCCCAGGCTGCAAACATCCTGTCCTGACAGGTCCGGGATGTGAAACCGGAGAGCTGAGGGGTGACTTGGGCTGAGCTGACCCCATAGGATTGAGTGTTCCCACTGCTCTGCTTGCTTGGTGAGTGGTGGCAGATGCAGTGCTGGTAATGGGATTGCTCGAGACAGTTTGTGTCTACCATTGATGTGCGCCATGGGCATGCAGAGCATCTTCATGCAGGGATTTGCTCCCTGCTGCTGCAGCATCACATCCCTGGGCTCCTACCCCTCCCATCCCCACTTCCCAGTGGGAAGCCAAGGCTGGAACCTTCCACCCAACCTGTGGAGATCTCCCAGCAGAACCCATTCGGTGCCCAGCCCTGGTTGATGCTGCTGTGTCAGGGCAGCCCCTGGCGATGGGGATTGGAACGCGACGATGCCGGGCTGTGCCAGTGGCTCAGAACTCGGGGTCTGCTGTATCCCTGCTGTATCCTCATAGCCCCAGTTCCCCTGGGGAAGCACCCATCCTTCAGGAGGCTCCCTCCTCCTCCTCCTCCATTGCCTCCAGCGGGGCAGAGCACTTGCCAAGCCTTGGGGCTCATCACCCATTCCCTCCTTCCCCATCTCCCCTTCAAACCCCATCATCTTCTATCAAACCAACCCTTCCATTTCTCTTTCTTCCCCCCTCTCCTCTTCCAGCACCACCAACCTCCCTCCCACCACCTCCACCTCCCCGAGCCAGGCAGCGGCTGCTGGGGAGCGCCAGCTCGCTCCCATTGTGCTATCTTTGGGTCCTAAATTAAAATTTATGACATCTCGAAATGAGCAGTGAGGGTAATTTTGCTTCTGAGCGAAGATGCTAATGAGTCCCCTTAATGGCGTGAATAAGGAGTTGACGGGTCGTGTGTCACTTCGCGCAGCCCGTGCTGGTGGTGTAATGGCCGCAGTAAGTGTCTGTAATTATACCCTGTCTCGCTGTATTTTGGCAGCCGTTGTGGGAGAGCAGGAGGCTCAGCCACGTACAAGGCAGGGGGGAGGGAAAAAGGAAAGAGGGGGGGGCAGAAAATATCCCAGCATCTCCTGTGCTTCCTTAGTGCTCCCTGCGCTCCGGGTCCCTCTGTCCACGCAGCTCCGGAGCGGGCGCTTTGCTGGGCTCAGCTCCAGCTGCTTTGGGATTGAGTTTCTCCATCCCCTTTTCCTTCCCTTTAAAACAAGGGGATAAACGCACACATCGGAGCCAGTGCTGCAGGTTGTGCCCCGTGGGGGGGATGGCAAAGACCGCTTGAACCCGAGTGCGTGGGGTCACATAGGATCTGAATGAGGTTTTGCAGCTCTTGAAGGCTTGGGTCTTGCTTCCAAAAGCACAACTCAGTTTTCTGGAGGGTTTTATCTGCCCAAGGAGATCACGTTTTAACTCTCATTATTCAAGGAGATTGTGGCTGCCCCATCCCCGAGTGCTCAAGGCCAGGTTGGACGGGGCTTGGAGCTGGATGGAGGCTGGAGCTCGGTGGGCGCTAGAGCTGGATGAGCTTTAAGGTCCCTTCCAACCCAAACCATCCCACGATTCTATGACTCTGTTGATGGGAAGGTGCCCAGGATGAGGGCATGGAGTGGTTCCCAAGGCGTATGGAAGCTGCTTCTCCTCCCAGCTGCTGTCATGGCACATCCCAGCTCCGGCTCCACCAGCAGCCCTTGTGCCTCAAGTTGAAAAGCAGCGAGGGGTTGGCTCTTTCCCTGCAGTCTCAGGAGCCTTGGAGCTGCCTCCAGAGGATGCTTTACAAACTGCACCCTTCTTGATGTTAGGGATTCCTGGGCTCTCCCAACCCCTGCAGGAAAGAGCTGGGATGCTGCAGGTGGCCGTGGGACAGTCACCAAGCACAGAGGTGCTGCCTGGGTGCGTGTCATTTGCCCTGGCTTTCCCCATCCTTCCTTCATGTCTCCTTCTTGCTCCTCTGCCATCACCAGCCACCACCTTTGGTCCCTGGGGCTTTTTGGGACCCTTTTCTGTCCCATCCTTGTGTGTGTGTGTGTGTGTGGGACGGGGTGTCTATAGCTCAGTGAAGCCACACTTAAGGCATGGCTCCATTGAGCAGCGTGGTCAGGGTGTCCCTTTGTAGGTGTGTGGTGGGTCCAGTTGATGGGCATAGGTTTATCTCAGGGCATCGACGTGCTCTCAGGCAAATTGATGTCATTTTTGGAGGCAGCAGGAATGACCAGGAGAATAAAAGCATCTGGGGCAATGTGGGGCTGTCCAATGCTCCTTAATGGCAGATGATGCTGAAGAAAGCCCCATGCTCAGTGCCTCAGTACTTCTATATGGCCAGGGCAAGGGAGGCTTCATGCTTGCCCGGTGCAGCCAGGGGATGCCTTATCCCGATGGGAAGCTGAGCTCTGCCACGTCACCAGCGCCAGCAGAATCAATACCAAGGGTCTGTTCCAGAGCTCCAGTGTTTGAAAGGACAGCATCAATGAAGTGGGGAGAGCCGGGTGCTCCCTGCACCAGCACAGAGCAGAGAAATATTGAAGTACTCGCGTATAAACTGTGCTTTCAAGTGTTTTTTGACAAGGGGACTAATTAAATCTTAATTGACACCGCACTAATTAGCTTCTTAATTACATGGAACCACATAATTAGCAGCACACTCTGTGCTAATTGTTAATTAGGAAAACCAGGCTTCCCCCTAGCCCCCTCCCCATCCCTCCCATCCTGTGGTAGCTTTTAACTAAAGAGCCTCTGATGGGAGGAGGAGGAGAAGAAGAAGGAAGAAGAAGGGGAAGGCTGTAAAGGCTGGTACGGAGGGGTGGTTGGGCTCCCAGCACATGGCACTGGGATGGTCTTTGGCTCCAGACAGGGGTTTGGGCAGAGGGACAGGGATATGGGGGTGAGTGGGTACCTCAATGGGGGTTGTTCATAGTAATGTGTTGGTGATGCAGCTCATGCTCTGGGCTGGCTTGTGACCCCTTCCCCATGGCCACGTGCTTAACATTCCCCAAAGAGACATTTTTCCCCCTTCGGATGGGTCTGTCCACTTGCTCCCTTTATTCCCTTGGTTTCTTAATGGTTTTCCTGCCTTGCTCCATCTCTCCTGGCAGGCAGTGGCAGCATCTCATTGCTGGGGCAGCAAGGTTTTCCCTTAAATGGGGCTTTGCTCCAGGGTGGATTTTCATACCTCATCCCTCTGTGTGCTCAATGGGCACTGCAGAGCTTGGGGCTGGTGGGTCTGTGCCAGTGTCAGCCTGGTTTAAGCTCACTACCTGGTTTTGGTAGAGGAATTGCTTGGGATTTAACCATGTGGGAACAGGACTTCTACATTCCAATCTCCGCACCAGCACTGGTGCCCTACAACCTTCTGATCCAATAGGATCACAGCCACAGGGTGATGCTCCATAGCATGGCCCAGCATCTGCCACCTTCCCTGCATCTCCCAGCCCCAAAAGCTGCTCCAGCAGCTGCCTCACTGCCCATCCTTAGTGTGGGACAAAATCAAACCCCAAAGCTGTGTTTTTTCAGGTCTCTTTTTCTCTCTTTTTATTTTTTAATTATTTTTTTAATTAATAATTATTGTTTTTTTTAATAGTGCAGTTTTCCACTAACACTTGCCGTGGAGCCCATCTTTCCCAAGAACCTGATGGAGCGGGATGCGGAGCTGGAAGCTTGCAGCCCCTGTTTATGGGGGAAAAGGTGAAGGGGCAAAGAAAATATCCCTGTTTTCACCAGGGGGAAAAGAAGAGGAAAAGAATAGGGAAGAAAAAAAAAAAAACCAGAAAAGAAAGAAGAGGTGAGAAAATTGTTCACATTTGACAAATCTTTCTAATTAGGGGCCAATTATGTCCTCAGATTCCTAATTGGGATTCCGGCAGGTTTTCAGGCTTGTAGGGTAATTACAGGCTCGTAATTCTATTAAGATGGAAATTTGGGAGAAATACCTTATCATAACATTTAGATTTTGCCATCTGTGTTGACGGGCTGCAGCTCGGGTGGGAAGGAGGTGTCGCCTCCCTGCCTGGAGCCTGAGCCTCACCCTGCACCACTGCGGGTAGAGCGGGGTGAAACGGGAATGGGGAGATCTGAGCATCACTGTGGTCCCCGTGGGCTCGTTGAGGGTCCTGGGATGTGTAAGTGAAGATCCCTGGGGATGGGTTGGGCAGGCAGGATGGCTGAGCTGAGCTCCATCCATGTCCCATCCATCGTCACTGATGCCACAGCAATCACTTTCCATCTTCCAACGTGGAGCTCCCTTAGGTTCCAGGCAGCTCTGTTTTCATGTGCACCAAATTCACCTGGGTGCAAAAAAACTGAGGGGAAATAATGGGTGTAAAGTCCCTTCTGCAGCACCCAGGCAGTGTAAAGGGGCTCAGAGCATCTGTGGGGCATACTGGAGTTGGTAGGGGTGTGCCATGGGGCAGAGGTGAGCATGTGCCGGCAAGTCCCTTTTTTGGTTTGGCAGCCAAACTGAGGATGGTGTGGAAAACCCAAAGCCTGAGTCCACCAGGATGCTCTGTTTAACCTCAGCCAAGGCGTTTTGTGCCCTATCAAGGGGACGCAGCAAAATGTCTTATGAATGGCCCAAAGGATCAAATGGAGGCATTGATTTATTTCGGTGGGATGAGTGGGGAAATGGAAGCACGGGAGGTTAAAGGAACATCCCTGGGATGCTTTGGGGCGTTTGATGCTGTCGCTAACTCCAGCTCTTGGGTTGCAGCAGGAGCTGGAGCATCATCCGATGGGAGGGAGGAGACCTGAGGGAGAAGCCGCACAGGAAAACCACGCTGGATTTCCACCATGTCCCCCAAAAGGAGTTCCCCAAGTCTTACAGGTGCTCTTTCAGCATCTCCAGGTGTCCCTTGACTGCTGGGCAAGGACATTGCTCCCTTTGGGGACACAGAGGCTGGAGGGGAACAGCGGGGGCCAGGGGTCACCCGGGAGCAGCCCCTGCCGCCTGCTGCTGCGTAATTGGTTTCCTATTAATCTGGCTTTTTATTATTATTATTATTGTTATTATTATTAAACATCTCTCTTCTCCCAAATCATCTCGGAGCCGTGGCGAGGTCCCTGGTAATAGCTCCATAAATTTCAGCCATAAAAAGTAATGGAGGGAGACAAATGAGATAATTAGGAATAAATCTTGGCGAGGTCTCTATTCATCAACATCCCCCAGAACTGGCCAATATTCCAAATCATTAGCAAAGCCCGTAATTAACAAAGAGCCAAGGCTTCCAACATTCATAAAGCTCGCTCAACTCTATATTATCAGGTAGCGGCTGACGAATCAGCCCTGGTAATATTATGGCCTTTGTTAAAGATCTTTCTTTTCTCTTTTTTTAAAGCTAAAAACCCTGTGTCATTTCTTCCCCCCCCCCTTCTTCTGCTAAATTTTAATTAGATTTTGCACATGCATCTGTAGAGGGCAAGCGAGGGGACAAAGGGACAGGGTTTTTTCTTTTAGACCTGGGGATACTGGCAAAAGAACAAGCTGATGGAGTTTTCTTTCATTAGTTTTTCATCTTTCTCCCTCTTTTTTTGTCATCGCTTCACACTTGGATGGGTTCTGGGGTTGCTGAGGAGTTTGTCTGTCCCCTGCCCACCTGGGCATGCTGGGACACTCACCTACATGCCACCCATATCCTCCAGCCTGGCACTGGATCCCAAGGTGTCCCACTGTCCCCATCCCAGGGTGGGACGGCTACGGAGCAGCTGCATTGCAGAAGCCCCTCTGTAATCCCAAGTGCCCACAGGTTAATGTCCCATCAGTAAATGGGGATATCCCCAGATCTGATAGGGAAAAGGGAGAGGGTTGGGAAGGATGAATAACTCTGTGCTTTGGGCTTGCACAGTCAGGCCCTTACTTCCAGCACTGGACCACATCCACGCTGCCACAGCATCTTCTTGAAGCCTCCTCATCAGCCACTGTCACAAGTCAAACACAGAGGGATGAAGCTGCTGCTGGTGGGCATCCCTTGGCATCACACCAGGTACTGGTGAACATAGCAGCCCCTGGGGAAGGGGAACAAACGGCTGGGTTAGGGGCTCAGGCCATGTGTGAAGGCCATGCAGGAGGAAAGGTAGAAAACTGGGTCTGTGGCTCAGCAAAACTGTCTACATGGGCAAAAAGTAGGACCAACCCCCTCCAATTTGGCCTCTCCATCACCAACTGGGAGGAGAGCTCCAAGGAGGCTGTGCCAGCACCCACAGGCACAGGATGCCTGCTCCTAGGAGAAAATGTAATGAGATTCTAAGCTGTTTCCTGGAGTTTCCTCCAGGGTTTAAGTGACAATTTATCGTGGGGTGCAACAGTGTCGTCAAAGGGGATTTCGTTCTGTCTCTGCCATATCCGATTTTGATGATGCCATATTGAGCCATCCTCAATAACAACCTTTATGGACATGAAATAGTTCAGGCAATAAAAAAAAAACCCTTTATTGAAAATAACTCCATGTAAACATAAAACTGAGGGGGCATAAACCACAACAGGGATCAGCTCCGACTTCATGGGATGTTGCTGCGCGGATGCTACATGTGCTCAGCAAGCACAGAGAGGGGACTGAGCAAGTCCCCAAGTCCAAGCAACCTCCTGCAAGGCTGCTCAAAGCTTTTAAAGCAGGAAACTACCCACGGGGCTATTTGAGTGCTGTGGCCACAACAGCTCCCACTTAACAACCAAGAAATACTACCTGGGATTGGGATATTTGTGTCCACTCCTCCATGGGAAGTGTTTGGATGCAGGGACTGCTTAGGGAAGCAGAGGCTGGTCCTGCAGGCTGGTTCTGAATGGGGATGCAGGGAAGGGGCTCCTCCCAGCCCCGATGCCATCCCTGTGGAGCCAGGAGCCTGGGGATTTGGGTACCAGAGTGATGAGGGGCCAGACTTGCTCTGCACGCCAGGCAATGGGACTAATGGTAGCTGCAGTGCGTAGTAGTGAGTAGAGCCCCAAATATCTATTGCCTTGGAAGCCCTGGGATCAAGCTAGCTTGGCAAAACAGCCCCTGGGCAGGGTGTGAGAGGCCATAGGGGACTCTCTGGCCTTTCCAAAGGGTACAAGTTTATAGGGAAGGGCAGAGGCCACCGCCACCATAGGAACCTCACCATCACCAAGCCCCAGCCCAACGCCCAGAAAGCAGTTTGTTTTATCTTAAATGCTCCAGGGAGCCCTGGCACTTGGAGAAGAGCAAAACCTGGCTGGGAAAGTAAAGGTGCTCAGTACGAAATGAGAGCAACAGGACTTCAGGGCAGAGCTGTAGATGCAAACAGGGGGGTTCAGCCCCAAAATCACAGAAGCTCACTGCCTTTCCAGCACAGCCCACACGAAGGGAGGAGATCAGTCAGACCCGAGCATCCCTTTTGCTGCCAATGCACCCTCTGACAGCTCTTTTAATCTTCTTTACCATGATTTGTCTTGGCTTGGTGCTTTTAGAGGAGAAACTGCTTCAGCTGGAGTTGTGCAGGAGCTTTGCTGTTGCTCAGAGGTGCAGATGCGATAGAAATGGGGTCCCTGCCTCTTGATTTCCCACCCGAGGAACAAAAAGGAGGCTCAAGGACTGATTAGTGTCCATCAGGCTACTGAGCCTAAGAGCGAGGTGGGGAGGCTGAGATGCTTGGTCATCCCTTCACTAGAGGGCAGCAGCATGCCAACAAAATCGCCTTAAACCGCTGCGATTTTGGATGAGCCCGGTGAGAGCATCGGAAGAACTTCGAACCTTGGGCAAGCTGGCATCGTGCGGTGCTCGTGAGTGCAGGACAGGGCCCTGGAAGCCGAAGTGCCCTTGGGAGAGCGGCCAGGTTGGGTGCGAAGGGCTCCGGGGCTCCTGTGCCCCGGCTCCTTTGGGATGCAGGAGGGATCTGGTGGCTGCCAACATCTGGAATCCATTTCTGAGCGGCTTCACCGCTCTGCAGATGTGTGGCAAAGCTCCCTGGGAGCACAACTGGGAGGGCAGCAGCACTGGGCTACCCCGGCATTCACTTTATTGCAGGGAGATAAAAGGTGGCTGGAAGGCAGCCGAGTGCCCAGCTCTGAGCAGGGTTTATGTTCCGAGAGCTCTCTCTGTGCTGCCAAACCCCTGAGTGAAATAACCCAGCCAGACACATCAGATACACATCATCCCTTTGCAGCAGGGGCACCCAAGCAGGGCAGGCACCCAGCAGTGGTGATGATTCAGCACACTTTAAAGAGCCTTGTATAAAGAAAACCCTTCATTGCCCATGGCCAGGGGCAGGCTCAGGCACTAACGAGCTTGGCAATCAATGGGGCTGGGGTGGAAATGGAGCTTGGACGCTGCTGGCAGCCACCAGCATCCCTCCAGCATCAGCAGCGCCGGCAACTAATGACCATCAAATGGCAGCGCAGAGGGGGTGGCTCCCGGATTGCTGCGGGGCTGCTGAGCTCTGGCAATGGGCAGGAGGTTCAGTTTGCCACGGGAAACCCAGCCCAGGGCAGCTCAGTGCAGAGGGGAAACCCACCCACAGGGAAATGAACCCTAGAGCCTGCGGCAGCAGCGCAATGCAGGGAGTAACACTGGGGCCAGTATAGGAATGTGGGGAAATGAATGGTCAAAAGTATCTATATCTATCTATCTATCTATCAATCATCTCTCTACCTATCTACCTATCTATCTATCTATCTATCTATCTACCTATCTATCTATTATCTATCTATTTATCTATCTATCTATCTATCAATCTATCATCTATCTACCTATTTATCTACCTATCTATCTATCATCTATCTATCTATCTATCTATCATCTATCTATCTATCTATCTATCTATCTATCTACCTATCTATCAACTATCTATCTATTTATCTATCTATCTATCTATCTATCATCTATCTATCTATCTATCTATCATCTATCTATCTATCTATCTATCTATCTATCTATCTATCTATCATCTATCATCTATCATCATCTATCTACCTATGTATCTATCTATCTACCTATCTATCTATCTACCTATTTATCTATTTATCTATCTATCTATCTATCTATCTATCTATCTATCTATTTGTCTATTTATCTATCTATCCATCTATCTATAGGTAGTTATGTGTGTCACTCTCTATAGATGCATACATATATGTGCGTGTATGTACATATACAGTCATATATGTGTATATACATACAGTCTATATGTACATACAGTGTGTATATATGTATTCATACAGTCAGCCTCTCCAGCACACAGAGGAGTCTGTCTCACACAGGCACACAGAGGAAACCGGAGTGCTTAGGTCACGCTGTATCTGTGCACAGAGGGGAGCAGGCTGGGTGTGAGCAGGAGCCCATCTGAGGCCCAGACTGTAAAGAGGAGTGAATTAAAGCCTGGGAGATGAGTGTCTGTTTGCCCCGTCCCGCACGTGTGCACGACCTGGGCCAACTTTCCCTGCGGAGCAGGGACGAGGGCTTTGGAATGAAAAGGAAAACGGTGCCACTTCTTTCACTCTATAACTCACGGGGGCTGCTCAGCGCTTTGCTGTGGGGGGTTAAAGGTAGGGCTGGAGTTTCCTCCCCAAATATTCCCATTAATGGCTTTCAAATGCTGGCATCCCTGGCGGGTGCGGGAGCGTGTGTGTGTGTGTTGGCTGCTGGCGCTGTCTCGCACACAGCAAACTCCCCAGCTCCCAGATATTTAAGCTCACTCCATCTCCTCTCCGGTTTCAGCTGCATTTTGAAAGCAAACAACTCCCACCGACTGCAGCAGGAAATCACTATTTGGGTTTATGAGGCACCTCTTCCTGACGAGCCGCATGGAAAAGGCGCTGCGTGCTCTGCAAGGCAGGTATCCCTGTGCTGATGGGGTGGCTCAGCCCTCGGCGTTGCACACC